TTCTTTTTGTTGATGTGGTGGAGGATATTGATGGATTTTCGAGTGTTGTAACATCCTTGCATCCCTGGGATGAATGCCGCTTGATCGTGTTGTATGATCCTTTTGATGTGTTTTTGAATTCGGTTTGCTAATATTTTGTTGAGTATCTTTGCATCTATGTTCATCAGGGTTATTGGTCTGTAGTTTTCTTTTTTGGTGGGGTCTTTGCCTAGTTTGACTATTAGGGTGATGTTCCCTTCATAGAGTGAGTTTGGGAGTATTCCCTCCTCTTCTATTTTTTGGAAAACTTTAAGGAGAATGGTTATTATATCTTCTCTGTATGTCTGATAAAATTCTAAGATAAATCCATTTGACCGGGGGTTTTGTTCTTGGGTAGTTTTTTTATTACTGCTTCAATTTCATTGCTGGTAATTGGTCGGTTTAGATTTTCTGTTTCTTTCTGTGTCAGTTTTGGAAGGTTGTAGTTTTTTAAGAAGCTGTTCATTTTTCCTAGGTTTTCCAGCTTGTTAGCATAGAGGTTTTCATAGTATTCTCTAATAATTCTTTGTATTTCTGTGGGGTCCTTCATGATTTTTCCTTTCTCGTTTCTGACTCTGTTGATTCTCTTTTTCTCTTAATAAGACTGGCTAGAGGCTTATCTATTTTGTTTATTTTCTCAAAGAACCAGCTCTTGGTTTCATTGATGTTTTCTATTGTTTTATTCTTCTCAATTTTATTTATTTCTTCTCTGATCTTTATTATGTCCCTCCTTCTGCTGACCTTAGGCCTCATTTGTTCTTCTTTTTCCAATTTTGATAATTGTGACATTAGAGTATTCATTTGGGATTGTTCTTCCTTCTTTAAATATGCCTTTATACTTTCCTCTTAAGGATTGCTATATACTTTCCTCTTAAGACTGCCTTTGCTGTGTCGCACAGAAGTTGGGGCTTTGTGTTGTTGTTGTCATTCATTTCCATAGATTGCTGGATCTCCATTTTAATTTGGTCATTGATCTATTGATTATTTAGAAGCATGTTTTAAAGCCTCCATGTGTTTGTGAGTCTTTTTGCTTTCATTGTAGAATTTATTTCTAGTTTGATACCTTTGTGGTCTGAAAAGTTGGTTGGTAGGATTTCAATCTTTTGGAATTTACTGAGGCTCTTTTTGTGGGCTAGTATGTGGTCTACTCTGGCGAATGTTCCATGTGCACTTGAGAATAATGTGTATCCTGTTGCTTTTGGATGTAGAGTTCTAAAGCTGTCTATTAGGTGCATCTGTTCAAGTGTGTTGATCAGCGCCTCTCTGTCCTTACCTATTTTCTATCTGGTGGATCTGTCCTTTGGAGTGAGTGGTGTGTTGAAGTCTCCAAAAATGAATGCATTGCATTCTAGTTCCTCCTTTAATTCTGTTAGTATTTGTTTCACATATGTTGGTGCTCCTCTATTGGCTGCAAATATATTTATAATGGTTATGTCCTCTTGTTGGACTGAGCCCTTTATCATTATGTAATATCCTTCTTTTTCTCTTGTGACTTTCTTTGTTTTGAGGTCTAATTTATCTGATACTAGTACTGCAACACCTGCTTTTTTCTCCCTGTTGTTTGCATGAAATATCTTTTCTATCCCTTGAGTTTTAATCTGTGCATGTCTTTGGGTTTGAGGTGAGTCTCCTGTAAGCAGCGTATAGATGACTCTTGCTTTTTTATCCTCTCTTTTACTCTGTGTCTTTTGATTGGTGCATTCAGTCCATTTACATTTACGGTTATTATTTAGAGACATGTACTTACTGCCATTGCAGGCTTTAAGTTTGTGGTTACCAAATGTTCAAGGTTAGCTTCTTTACTATCTTACTGTCTAACTTAACTCGCTTATTGAGCTATTATAAACACAGTCTGATGATTCTTTATTTCTCTCCCTTCTTATTCCTCCTCCTCCATTCTTCATATGTTGTATGTTTTGTTCTGTGCTGTTTTTAGGAGTGCTCCCATCTAGAGCAGTCCCTTAAAATGCCCTGTAGAAGTGGTTTGTGTCAGGCAAATTCCCTCAACTTTTGTTTGTCTGGGAATTGTTTAATCCCTCCTTCATATTGAAATGATAATTTTGCTGGATACAGTATCCTTGGTTAAGGCCCTTCTTTTTCATTGCATGAAATATATCATGCCATTCTCTTCTGGCCTGTGAGGTGTCTGTTGAGAAGTCTGATGATAGCCTGATGGGTTTTCCTTTGTAGGTGACCATTTTTCTCTCTATGGCTGCCTTTAATATTCTGTCCTTGTTCTTGATCTTTGCCATTTTAATTATTATGTGTCTTGGTGTTGTCTTCTTTGGGTCCCTTCTATTCGGAGTTCTGTGTGCTTCCATGGTCTGAGCAACTATTTCCTCCCCCAGTTTGGGGAAGTTTTCAGCAATTATTTCTTCAAAGACACTTTCTGTCCCTTTTTCTCTCTCTTCTTATTCTGGTACCCCTATAATGCGGATATTGTTCCTTTTGGATTGATCACATAGTTCTCTTAATATTGTTTATTTTTTGGAGATCCATTTAGCCCTCTCTGCATCAACTTCTATGCGTTCCTGTTCTCTGGTTTCTATTCCATTAATGGCCTCTTGCATCCCATCCATTCTGCTTTTAAGTCCTTCGGGAGATTTTTATTTCTGTAGTCTCCCTCTGTACTTGCTCCTTTAGCTCTTGTATATTTCTCTGCAGATCCATCAGCATGTTTATGATTTTTATTTTGAATTTGTTTTCAGGGAAACCCTTTAGGTCTATCTCCGCAGGTTCTCTTTCAGGGGTTGTCTGGACTATTTTGGACTAGACTAAATTCTTCTGCCTTTTCATGGCGATAGCGGTGGCTGTAGGCAGGTTGCAGGTGTGTCACCTGGGCGAAGAAAGTCCTTTCCTGCTTGCTGGATGCCTTTTCCTTCTCCACTCCCTGTGTCAGTTACCCGAACTCCTGGAACAGCCACCAGGTTAATACCCTAAGCTGCTGTGAGCGGGGTCTCTGTCAGAGCAGCACAGTGCCCTGCGAGGAGTGGCAGGCATTTCAGGTGTACTCCCCCACAAAAGCAGCGACCCTGCTGGGCGGCTGTGTGCTGACAGTGGTCTTTGGTTCTGGCCCGGGCTGCTGTGCATTGGGCTGGGATTCCTGGAGGCTTCTCGGGGTGCAGCTACTCCTGGGTCACTGCTCCACCGCTGCTGCCATCACATGCGGGCCGCATTCGATCCTCTCTGGTGCTGCTGCAGGTGTGCGCAGGCTTATCCCATGCCCCTTTAATGCCACTGCTGTGGGCACACGTGGGCCGCTTGGTCGCCACTGCCGCAGGCTCACACAGGTCTCTCCCATGCCCCTCTGGCACCGCAGCCACCAGCACACATGGGCCACTCCCGGGCCACTCAGCCGCCGCTGCCATGGGCTTGCACGGGTCTCTCCCAGGCCCTTCTAGCACCGTGGCCACTGGTGCACATGGGCCACTCCTGGGCCGCTTGGTCACTGCTGCCATGGGCTTGCGCGTGCCTCTCCTGGGCTGCTCTGGTGCCGCGGCCGACGTGCATGGGCCACTCCCGGGCCACTTGTTTGCCTCCGTGGCAGACTTGCACAGGCCACTCCTTGTGCCCTGTGGCACCGCCACCCACGGCGCACGCTGCCACTCTCCCACTGCTGGGCCAGTGTGTCAGGGTCTGTGCCAGTTGGGGGAACCACTGGCAGGCTGCTTATTGCCATGAGGGGCTTCAGAGCTGCACTGCCACCCAGGGGTTTAGTGCACCTAAAGTTCCCCGGGATTCTCAGCTGCTTGCTAAGTGTGCCGAGATGACTTTGTCCAACTGTGGGGTCCCTGTCTCTTTAAGACTTGCAAAAAGCACTTGCTTTTCTTTTGTCTCAGGGGCACCTGTTGTGGGGACCTTCCCGCAGGTTTTGCTTTTCCATTTCTCTAATATCCAGCACCCTGTGCACCATGTGTCTCTGCTCTGAGGGCAGATTTCTAGAGCTGGTTGTTTAGCAGTCCTGGGCTTTCACTCCCTCCCTGTCCCAACTCCTTTCTTCCCACCGGGTTCTGTGGTTGGGAGGGGGCATTCGGGTCCTGCTGGGTTGCGGCTTATATCTTACCCCCTTCATTTGATAATGTGTTCTTGCAGATGTAGATGTATCCTGGCTGTTATACTGTATCCATTGGTGTCTCTTATAGGAATAGTTGTATTTATTGTATTTTCATAAATATATATGTTTTGGGGAGGAGATTTCCACTGAACTACTCATGCCGTCATCTTGGCTCCACCCCTTCTTTAGTGTTTTTTATGTACAATATCATGTCATCTGCAAACAGGGACAGTTTGACTTCATCCTTGCCTTTCTGAATGCCTTTTATTACTTTGTGTTTTCTGACTGCCATGCCTAGGACCTCCAAAACTATGCTGAATAAAAGTGAGAAGAGTGAGCATCCTTGTCTTGTTCCCAATCTTAAAGGAAAAGCTTCCAGCTTCTTGCTGTTAAGCATAATGTTGGCTGTGAGTTTGTCATATATGGCCTTTATTGTGTTGAGGTACTTGCCCTCTATACTCATTTTGTTGAGAGTTTTTATCATGAATGGATGTTGAATTTTGTCAAATGCTTTTTCATCATCTATGCAGATGATCATGTTGTTTTTGTCCTTTTTGTTGATGTAGTGGATAATGTTGATGGATTTTTTAATGTTATACCATCCTTCCATCCCTGGGATAAATCCCACTTGATCATGATGGATGATCTTTTTGATGTATTTTTTAAGTTGGTTTGCTAATATTTTATTCAGTATTTTGGCATCTATGTTCATCAGGGATATTGGTCTGTAATATTCTTTTTTTGTGGTGTCTTTGCCTGGTTTTTGTATTAGAGTGATGCTGGCCTCATAGAATCAGTTTGGAAATATTCCCTCCTCTTCTACTTTTTGTAAAACTTTAAGGAGGATGAGTATTAGGTCTTCACTAAATGTTTGATAAAATTCAGCAGTGAAGCCATCTGGTCCAGGAGTTTTGTTCTTAGGTAGTTTTTTGATAACCAATTCAATTTCTCTTCTGGTAATTGGTCTATTCAGATTTTCAGTTTCTTTCTGGGTCAGTCTTGGAAGGTTGTATTTTTCTAGAAAGTTGTACATTTCTTCTAGGTTTTGCGGTTTGTTTACATATTATTTTTCATACTATTCTCTCATGATTCTTTGTATTTCTGTGTTGTCCATACTGATTTTTCCTTTCTCATTTCTGATTCTGTTTATGTGTTAGACTCTCTTTTTTTCTTGATAAGTCTGGCTCAGGGATTTTCTATTTTGTTTATTTTCTTGAAGAATCAGCTCCTGCTTTCATTAATTCATTCTATTGTTTTATTCTTCTCAATTTTATTTATTTCTGCTTTAATCTTTATTATGTCCCTCCTTCTACTGTCTTTGGGCCTCATTTGTTCTTCCTTTTCTAGTTTCATTAATTGTGAGTTTAGACTGTTTATTTGGGATTGTTCTTTCTTGAGGTAGGCCTGTATTGCAATATATTTCCCTCTTACCACAGCCTTTGCTGCATCCCACAGATTTTGTGTTGTTGAATCATTGTTGTCATTTGTCTCCATATATTGCTTGATCTCTATTTTTGTTTGATAATTCATCCATTGAATATTCAGAAGCATGTTATTAAGCTTCCATGTGTTTGTGGGCTTTTTCATTTTCTTTGTGTAATTTATTTCTAGTTTCATTATGTTAAGGGTCTCTGATGACAATTTAAATATTTTATTTTAGGAGGCAGCCACTTTGTTTAGGTTTTTGCTTGCTGATCCTGGCCTCCTTTCTGAGTCTTTGGTCTCTGAGAAAATGTAATCTTTAGAGCTTTTGTAGTGATAATTTTGTCTGCTCCACTGGGGCCCCACTGGCCCTGACTGGTGGTCCCTGAGAGACAGAAAAAGCTAAAGTGTGCACTTTATTCAGATTTTCTTAAATTTTATCTAATGTCCTTTTTCTATTCAGCATCTCATAGAGCCTACTGTATTACATTTAGTTGTCATGTCACTTCAGGCTCGTTTTGGCTGTGACAGTTTCCCAGACTTTCCTTGTTTTGAATAGCCCCTGACACTTTAGAGGGCCACAAGTAAGATATTGTGTAGATTATCATTCAATTGGGATTTGTGTGATGTTTTTCTCATGACTAGACTGGTGTCATGAGTTATGGGAGAAAAACCAGAGTAAATGACATTTTCATTAAATCATCAACAGTACGTAATAGCAACATAATTTTTGACTCTTGAAGCAAAACTTAATCATCTGGCAGAAGAACTGTCAGGTTTTCCCAATGTAAAATTATTCTTTTTTTCCCTTCCTACACTTTATTTTTTGGAAGGAAGTCATTAAGAACAGACCACACTTAACTGGTGGAGAGTTATGCATTCCTTTCTATGAGGACACAGCATATATATAAATAATTTGGAATTCTTCTTCATGGAACATTTGTGCTCCCCTATTTATTCTATTTATTGATAGGCACACCTCATTTTATTGCACTTTGCTTTCTTGAGATTCACAGGTATCATTATCTTTACAAATTGAAGATTTGTGGCAACCTTGCATCAAGCAAGTATATGGGCACCATTTTCCCAACAGTATTTGCTCACTTTGTGTCTCTGTGTCATATTTTGGTATTTCTGCAATATTTCAAGCTTTTGCATTATTATTGTATTACTTATGGTGACCTATGATCAATGATTATAACCATCAATGATGGTTAGTACTTTTTAGCAATAAAGTGCTTTTAATTAAGGTATGTATATGTTTTTTTAGACATAATGCTATTGCACTTAATAGACTGCTGGATAGTATAAATATAACTTATATGTACTGAGAATCCAAAAAATTAATTTGACTTCCTTTATTGTAATATTTGTTTTATTACAGTGGCCTAGAACCAAGCCTGCAATATTTTCCAGGTTTGCCTGTGTTAATTAATTAGCTAATTAATTAATATAATGGTTTCATGGATTTTAAAAATATTTGGATTACAAGTCAATATTTTCTTATTTTTTTTCTTTAATTGTTCCAGTTTGGGCCACTGGGAGCACTTTCTGTTGGCTCCGAGGTCCCTTTCTCTACTCCTATTATATGGGGTTCCTTTTTTAACAATTCCTTGCTTTCTGGCTCATCTTGCACATTTCCATCTTGCATGTATTCCAGCCTTGTCTAACATACTTCTAGGTTCTGAGAACTATCCAGTTCCTCAAGGAACACTATTCCCTTTCATTAGGAAATAGTATTAGAAACCAGTATCTGTGTCCCACATGTCTTCATTGTTGCTCAGATAAAGTGGTTTCTAAATCCTCTCAGCTGAAAACCCAAGGAGAAATATATGTGTTTATATTAACCCATATGTATGCACATTTCTATAAGCATTTCTGTATGTAAGCATCAATCTCTATATTAACTTAAATATGCATGTGTACTGATGTTTCTGACCCCATTATTGCACAGCTCATGCTTGCTTTTCCCTCTTTATTACCTGTAGCCTCCCACTCTAACAGTGAGAAACATGCCCCACCCCATCCAGTGTTCATTTAATTAACTTTTTAATTCCAGTACACATGCATAATGGTACCAGTTTTCTTAACCCAAACAAACATAGGCCAAAAAAATTACAGTAGACTACATGGCATATGTAAGTTTTCTTTTTTCTTTAGCCATACACACTTCTTTCATTTCCAAAGATACTTAAGTCAGTACTGTTTCCCTCTTCCCATTTAGTGCACTTTATCTACAAAATTAAATTATGTTTAGATTACTCTAGAGCATTCTGCATTCCAACTTAATATTCCCAACATCTTTAATAATATGCTTAAATTTGGCATAAATTCAGTTTGAGTCTTATGCTGTAAAATACAATGGATTTTTACAAGTACATAGTGCCACATACCAACCCTTAAATGATCACACAAAATAGTGTCACTGTGAGAGAGAGCTCAGAGTTATTTCCTCTTCTTGTAAGGACACTAATTCCATCATGAAGACCACACTGTCATCTGAACCTAATTAACTCCCAAAGGCCCCACCTCCAAATATCATCACATTGGGGGTTATACTTCAAATATGAATGCTGAGGGGACACAAACATTGAATCCATTGAACACAGTGATTTCAAAGCCCTAAAATATTACCTGCAGTGTACCTATTCAAGTCCCCATTTCTGAACTGCCAGAGAGTGCCATGCTCAGTTTATTATCTCTATGTTGCCTTTTCCACACTTTCTTATAATTGGATCACATGGCATATAGCGTTTTGAGACCTGCTTCTTTCACTTAGCAATATGAATTTAAGATTCATCCACATAGCTCTGTGGCTGGAAAGTTCATTTCTTTCTTTTGCCTAATAGTATTCCATTGCAAGGATGCACCACCATTGTTCATTCATTCACCTAATCATGCACAACTAGGTTGCTTCCTGTTTTCCCAATTATAAATGAAGATGTTGTTAACATTGTTGTGCAGGATTTTGTGTGGATTGAC